CAACAGGATTGTTCTAGTTATTCGTTTGACCTTCTTTCTTGCTAAAGGAAAAGGGCCTCTGAATGCCTCATAATTAATGGTGGTTAATAGAAGACAGGAACGTGACGAAATTTGGAAAGCTAAAAACAACAGTGAAAAAGCCTCAATTAAAATACTTGAAAATTCAAATCCTTTATGTTTTAGTAGTTTTAAATGCTTCAAATATAAGAGTATAACCCACTAAACTATTTAATAATGGCAGCAGGAAAAACTTGTAAAATGGGGGTGAAAGCTCCCCCTAAACTGTGGATCAGGACTGCTTCCTTGACAAGCAACTATAGGTCAGTCATTCAAGAGTTTATAAGTTACCAGTCTGAGCTGTGAGCCTCTCCTAGAGAGGGAGAAGTGAGGGTAACATACTGTTTAAATTACATGTTCTTCTCAAAAGGAAAGGGACAAAAGAGAGATCAGTGGTTGCCAGGGGCTGGGGGGAGGGGAGGGAATGACTACAAAGGAAAATGGGGGGAATTTTAGGGGCTGATGGAACTTGATTGGGGATGGGGATGGTTAACACAACTGAAAGTGTTTGTCAAAACTTGAACTGTAACTTAAAAGGCTGAATTTTACTGGATGTAAATTATACCTTCAAAAATAGAAAAAAGTTGGAAGAAAAAATTAAATTGCCTATTAAAGTAAAAAATTTTGCATGTCTTTTAAAACAAATTATACGAAAGATTCCCTTCATGAGTTCAAATGCTGCAAAATACTAGCATAATCGAGAATATTAAAAATTTTTCTAAACAGAAATAAGGTAAAATATTTGATTTTAAGAACTATTAAGCTCATCTTGAGGTACAAGATCACATAAAAGTTGACTGAAAGCCTATGTATGGCCTTCTTGCTTTCTCTAAAGTCATAATTTTGTTTGGTTTTTATGAATATAGGAAAAGTATTAAAAGAGAATTATCAGTAAAACTAGAAAATATTTCATAACATGATTTTTATGTACTACAAAAACTATTAAAATAGAAAGAGTCAAACACTTAAAGTTATGTATTTCAACTATATGTCTTGATGAGAGTCCTAAAGCCCCAGAAAGATAAAGGGATTCTGTTTTCCCTAGCAGTCACCCTGAGGCTCCTAGTGGGTCAATGACCCTTGCTGAGGAAGTAAGACTTTCTTTCTCCCTCCCAGGAAACTGTATACCTCCCAACGAAGAATAATAAATATGCTGCATTCATTAAGCCAGGCTTTATGCTAAATGCTCTACATTCACAACAACCCACCTGTCCGATGAGGAATAGAGGCCAAGAAGTGAGAAGGAAAGGGGGGAGACTGGAACTGAGCCCAGGCACAAGCACCCACCACACGGCCTCCTCCCCACAACACCCTTCCAGTTCAGAAAGGCAGGGATGAGCCTGCACTACAGTGTGGAACTAGCGAGATGCCATTCCACCACATGCACATCCTTCACACTTCTACTCGTCTACACAACTTGTTAGCAGCCCTTCTCTTGGTCTGGACTTAATGCCAGCAAGAGCTTGATGGACTTTTAACTTACAAAAGGAACTAGGGATCTCTTTTCTCAATGGAAACACAATTGAACGGCAAAAAGAGGCTCTAACAATCACCTTTCTGATCCAGTATAAGCTCACTCTCAAAAACGACCCTGTCTTCTTGTTGACAAAAAAGATTGGCTTAAACCCATACATTAAGGATTCCCTCAGCTTCCCAGTGTCTACCTCAGAGGGCTCTGGTTTTGCTTCCCTCAACTCTCAATTCTGTTTCTCAGGAAAAAGTACTTCAGCTATCCGTGACCCAGCCCAACAGTTCCCAAACTTTTTAGTTTTAGGACTCTTTTACACTCTGAAAAATCACTGAGGAGTCCAAGAAGCTTTTGTTTATGTGAGCTGTAATCTATTAACCTTTACTGTATTAAAAATTAAAACTGAGAATTTTTAAATTAAATCATTTAAATTAAATTAAGTCACTTACAAATAATGTTAAACATGTTAGTATAAATAAAATTTTTATGGAAAAAACTCTATTTAAAAAAATAGTGAGAAGAGTGGTAGTGTATTATATTTTTGCAAAACTCTTGAAGGTTATCCTTAATAAAAGCTGGCTAGACCTCTTATCTGCTTTTGCAGTCAGTCTGGTATGACAGTCATAGTCGTGCAGTTATGCAGCCTCTAAAAATTCCATTGTACACTCTTGAGGGAATGAAAGTAAAAGGGCAAATAATATCTTAGTATTACTTTCAAAACAGTTTGACCTTGAAAGAGTATCAGGAACCCCCCAGAACTCTCCCACCTCCCTTGGACAACCACCGCTCTAGTCAAGCCATTTTCTCGACATAGTCCTACGTCTGATTTCAGCAGATATGCACTCTTGAACTTGCATTCCAATCTCACTCTCTCTTAGCTCCATTACCGCCATCACTGCCACCACCAAAAGTACCATCTCCCCAACCTAAAAAACGAAACACAACAAAACTTCCTTCTTACGCTGTCTCTTCCTTCTCTCAAGTCACCAAATTTCTTGAAAAAGTAGTTCCCACTGCCTCTACTGCCCCTCCTTTTTATTTTAATTACCAAAGTAATACACAGAGGCATTCTCATTAAAAAAAAAAAATCCAAACAATATAGATACCAATCACCATCACCAATCCCAATCTCTTCCCCAGAGGTAACAACCACTAATTACCCCTAGAAAATACTACCCTGAACCTATTTTGCAAACTAAATATCAGATTGAACTTTTTATTTTCTTGTGATTTTCCCTCTTCAAATAGTTATACCAAGAAAAAAAGATTCTGAAAGAAGTCCTATTTAGAGTCTAATTCTTTTGGTGACCTAAGTTATGGATCAAAGGATAAGGGTTACCAGTTAGCAGATAAAATGAAGTGACACTACTATACAAAGCAAGTTCTAAACAAAATGTTAAAACCATGTTGATTTTATGGCAACACAACATAATGAGACAGAATAATGAGATTTAGGATTATGCTTTGTATGTAAAATCCTCACATTTCATTACCTAAATGCAGATAAATGCTGACTATATCTGTATCATCTTGATATATATAATAGTGTCTTTAGGTTACAAAACATGTTCACAAATACAGGTTTCCCCCGCTATCAGAAAGTTCACTATCTGAAAGACCTACATCAGTACCTCTTTTCCCTAACCGAAAACAAACATGAAGAGGATTTACAAAAAAAAGCAAAAATCAAAAATAGCATTCAGCAGTTGTTTTGCAGCAAGCCATTATAGAGGCTAAAAAGTCAAGCATACTGTTGTATTTCAAGCCTCCCACATCAGCCACAGCAGACAATGAACCTCAACCTTCAACATCCAGACAAGCGGACATAGAAGAAGGTGTAGACATTAGTAACCTGCCTGTCCTGATGATTCAGAGGACGATGAGATGGTAATAGATGATCTTCTTCCTCTCTCTCCTACAACCGAGTCTCCTGAACCTCCTAGTATCCAAACCTCGGACAACTCAGCCTAACAAACAATCATCACCATCATCACCCCTCAGCCTTCCAGTGAGCTCACTGTCTTCCTGATTCTGGTAAGAAAAACTACACTGTACATATATGTACGTATATTATTTCTACTTTATACAGGCTGTGTATTTATCATATTATTCCTGCTTTTACTATATGTCAATGTTATTTTAGGTTTTATGTGTTATTTGGCATAATTTGGTAGGTTATTTTTTTGGGTCTGGGAACGTTCAAAAATTTCTCCCATATAAATTAATGGTAATTGCTTCCTCACTTCACGCCATTTCAGTTTACGAAAGGTTTCACAGGAATGCTCTACTTTTGGACAGCGGGGGAAACCTGTTATTATCTCTTTAAAATTTCACAATCCATGAGGTAAATAGGGATTATCACTAATATTTTATAGATAAGAAAGCCAAAGTTCTGAGAGAAAAAATTACTGGCTCAAAATTACATAGCTAGAAAGATACATACCAGAAACCACAGATAGAACTTACATCTTTTGACTCAAATCGAATCCTACTCCTTTATATCAAATTGAATAGTACATCAAAAATTCTCACGATATAAAAATATTAAGTTCCTATATATTTTTAGAGCTAATTTGGGAAAAATTATGTCTATTTCCAAAGTTGAAGAGAAACTACAAAAATGAATTGTATAACTTCTGAATGCAAAAAAGAATAAATTATTTTCGCTTCTGTATTATACAACATAATCACTTAGGAAGCTTGCACTTTACTTAAGATAACAGTTAAAATTTGCTAAAACCTACAACAACATGTAGATGTATAATAAAATTAGAAAAATAACTTCTTAAATCCTTAATTAGGCAATGCCATTAACAAAAGACTTAAGACTCCTAATGTAAGGATTATGCAACAGTTCCTGAAAAGAACACCACACATACATAATTCATGGATGCTACTCTCATACTTCAGTGTTACCCTTGGAATTCCTGCAGGGAACACATGGAATCACGTGGAAATTTCTTAAATTTCACAATCAGAATTTTGAATTAAATTAGTAAAAGTAATAAACTTATACAAATAACAAAGCATTTAATTAATTATTAATCTTACTGAAACACTGTTTCCAAGTCCCTATTTTTTCCTACACCAAGGTAGCTCCATAGGAGTCCAACATATTTAAATGATTTCTTTATTATGACACACTAAATTGGATGATGAAAAAGAACTGAACTTAAACTATTTCTCATTAAGGGCTCTGAATCTTAGCTAACTCAATTTCACATACAATAACAGGAAAATTTTAAAACTATGGTTAAGCTAATCTTTATAACACATCCTGACATTTTAAAAACATGGACACAAAAACTGATTTTTCTTCACATTTTACTCTTCCTAAATATAAAAGATATATACCTGCTCTCAACACATCCTTATCAGAAGACCAAAAACCATAGCAAGATAGTTCAGTACTCAAGTTAGTCTAAATGGGACTGCAAAGCTGCTTCACTAAGAAATATTTGAGCATTTCTCTTACCTCTGTTTCTGTACAACGTGAATATCCCAATTTACCTGTAATAAAAATACAAAAAGTTACTTTCAAAGGATTTTAGCTTTTTTATCATTGATTAAAATATTTGAGCTATTCTGACCATGATTTCATTATACCTATGAAAATCTATGCAAATAAAAGTTGCTAGAATGACCAAATATTCTAGGAAGTCCTTTTAGAGATTTAAGTTTAAATAGGCCCATAAGAAGATAATACAGAAAAAGATGGGAAGAATATGCTTAATTGTAATAAGATCTAAAACACATACACATTTAATATGCATATATACAAATTCATGAAAGTAAAATAAAAATACTTTTAGTCTTTCTTTTTAAAATACTTTAAAGGTATTTAAAAGGTACCTTTTAAAATACTTTGAAATATCTTTAAAAATCTTTAAAAGACTCTTCTTGGGCTTTTCCCCAAATATATTTCCAGTTTAAAGGTATAGCAACCATTTCAATGACAGCAGAAATATTTCAAACTCATATTTTATTCAGTATATGATGGTAGTTTTTCTTTAATATATGATTAGACAAAACCATATAATAAATTTAGTAATTGTTCCAATAGAGGATCACCTGAAGAATAACTAGATTGAACAATATTTGGCGGTACCAACACTAGTATTTTCTCTTCATCACTGACATGATACCAAGGAACATGTACAATATATATTTCTGTCAATTTGGGTAATTAAATTTATTTATTTATTTATTTTTTCCCCCAAAGCCCCAGTAGATAGTTGTATGTCATAGTTGCACAGCCTTCTCGTTGCTGGATGTGGGACACGGCCTCAGCATGGTCGGAGAAGCGGTGCGTCGGTGCGCACCCGGGATCTGAACCCCGGGCTGCCAGCAGCGGAGCGCGCGCACTTAACCGCTAAGCCATGGGGCCAGCCCCTCAATTTGGGTAATTAAAACATACTTTTCAAAGAAAAAACAGCTACTTTAAAGGAGAATCATTTATTAAATAGTTTTAACAAAAAGGATAACACATTTATACTGAGTATTAAAAGATTTAATTTCCCCAGTCTATACTTCTTAAGTTTCATCGTCCTAAGTTCAAATATGCATTTACCGCTACCTCTTTCCCTCCCCCCAACACTATCCTTCCTCTCCCCAGCCTGCTCCTCTCACACCTAGCCCACAGTGGTGGTTCTGTCAGCCTGTGGTTTTTTTAAATGCTTTAACTAGAATTTATACACCTTAGAGTCTATGATGATACCACCAAAAAAAAATCATAAATAATGTTTTTATATGCCTCCCAACTCTTACAGTGAAAAACAAAGTTGAAACCCACAATTTCTGATGACCTAATGATCCTAACGTGAAATACTGGCTGCAATTTAGACCAGAAAACAAGGGACCTTGGGTTCCGCGAATTAAAAATGATATATAAGCAATAAATAATTAAAGATTACATGAACATATAGATAAAATGGGTTTAATATATAAGGTTTATATACTGGGGTTTGATAAATATATAACTGCTATTTATATATTAATTGTTACATAAAATTAAATATTACAGAGTTATATATATCATATCATATCTTTTTATTTATTTATGACAGTTTGTTCAGAACATTAGTGCTTTTGGTAGATTAATTCTACTTTACTCCCATAGCAATGGTAATTAAATTAACTTAGGAAAGTACTGTGGACAGGAACGGCTCAAAGAAGGGCGCAGACTACCTCCCAGCAAACAATTACTGAGTGTCTACTCTGTAGAGAAGGAAGAAGGGAGAGAGGGAAAAATATGGTATTAAGACAAGCTATAACAGAGAGTAACCTCTCTGAGAGTACATGGACGTATATCTTCAGTATACTGAAGATATATTTAAGGTAAAGAGAATTGCTAAGAAATCTAGAATTTTATGTGGTAGGTTTGTTGTTGGTAGTAGTGTTGGTGAAAAATTCTTAAACTATTTTCTACATATTGTAGCATTGAGCAAATAAGTAAATACAATATTGTTGGAATCATCAACGAAGGAGAAAGAATATAAAAACCTAAATGTAGGAAGGAGAGGAAGAGCCCTGTGGTGCTGCACTGGAGCGACAACTTCAAAAAACCATAATTTCCTAGTTCTGCCCTCCAAAAGAGGGAAGCAACAGCACCCCATTTGACAAGGGCACACCTAGCCCATCCCCCTTCAAGGAACCAGGACTCCTTAGGAAACTGGCTGACTCCAGGGCTAGGACAGGAAAATTACAAAATAAGCTGGAACATCTTTTTGCATCAGAAAGTAATGAAGTGCTCAAAGAATGATAGAGTGATGTCAAAAGGGCACCAGTTCTATGAAATAAGATTTTTTCAATGACCTCTATTATAAAACTGAAAATGCTTTCCTCTAAGAGTACCAAAAAATTTTGTGAAAGCGTACAACTGCTTTTGGTTATTCACTTTGAACTGGAGACCAAGCCATGCAAATATGAAAAGGTGGTTAAGTTTGAAGTGCCTAACCACCTACAGTACTCTATTATCCAAATCCCTGCCCACCTTCTGACCCAGGAATCAGAAAATTCCAATTACGTGACAGCAGACCGTAAAGGAACCTTGGAAATGATCTTGCCCAATCTATTCATTTTATAGAGGAGTAATCTGAGCCCGAGGAGTCAAATGACTTGCACAAAATGACAGAGTGAAGAGTAGACCCCCAGGCTTCTGACCCCCTATCATGAGTACTGGTGTGGTTTGGTTATCCTGCTCCTCCATTTCCACTTGCAGGGGCCAGTGGAGTTAGGGGAGGGGAACTGCAGGGGTGCTGTCCCAGCTACCTACCACTTATAATATTGCTTTTGGGGAAATAGGGAAAAGCAGTCCTTGATTTAAGAGTTGGAAATAGCCACTATAGCACCAAGGGATTTTCATTTGACAACTTTTGAGTTTTTCTTCAAAGGTTGGCCACCTCTGTTTTACAGAACCAGACCTAAGGAATCCCTCTAAAACCTAGAATCCTATGACTTCACTTTCTACAATTCTGGTAATCTAAGCTGATGGTAGTCCCAACCAAGGGTTCAGATTATTACATGCAGTGAATTAGTTCTTTCAATAAAATTAACACCTTTACTGATTTTATTGATTTTTATTAGGTTGAATTTAATTAGAAGCCTAGATAATCAAGTATGTGATGATATAAAATAAAAGGAAATATCTGAAATGGTATTCAAACACTAAGTTTCAAAATATTTCAACATTATCAAAGTACTCACACACTAGGAAGAGGGATAATTTGCACTCTAAGCCAAAACTTCAGTTCAGTGTTTCTCAAAAGGAATGGGCATTTTAATAATGCTGCAAGAATCAAGGCTATGTTGTAGACCCTTCTTTTTAACTCATTCTGAAATATTGGAAATGCTCTTAAGATTTACTAGACTAGTTCCCTCATGTCCCAGGAAATAGAAACACCAATATCTTCCTATAAATTGATAGAGAATGGCTTTAAGAAACAAAGTAGTCATAGTATAAAATGTCTGTCATAAAGAACTCATCAACTAAGACAACACTGTCATCTTTAGCAGACATTTTAAATCTTAAATGTTGATCATCAGGTAATTCCATTCAGCAGGCCTGCTCAATAAGTTACCAGGGAGAACATTTCAGTGAACACACCCAAGTAGGCCCACTCATAGCGTTGGCTGTTCACGATTAGACCCCACCCAGCACGCTCTATGCAATGGCCTCACCTCAGTGGAATCACAAATTCTGACGAACCACACAACTATTTGGTGGAAATTAAGGTACACTTTCAGAAAAAATTCACAGACATTCATGTAGATGAATAATAATTTTAAATTAAGGTAACTAGCAGTCTTTGGAGTAGAAATCTCAGCATATGGCTAAGTTATCACACGGTCACATTATCAACATGATTCAAATAACTGAATAAGCAAAAGGCAAACTATGCCTGTCAAAAAGACACAGAATCTTCGTAATTTTTAAGGTGAATAAATGGCTCTCAGAATTATTCTCCAAATTTTTCCTATGTGACCAAACTCTGGGCAATGTTTAGGTCCATCTGATCACATGAAAGTATGTTCTTTTTCATGCTGAAACTGAGAGATATCAATAGATATACCTCGTCCTCCTGCCAGCTTGCCTCTGCTTCCCTAGTTTGTTCAATAAATATTTGTTGAACACCTGAGAAATACCATTGTTAAGCACTGATGATCTAGCAGTGAACACACCAGACATGGTCCTTACCCCACAGGGCTTACATTTTAGTGAACACAGACCAAAAAAAGCAATCAAAATAATTACAACTGGTAATAAATGCTTTAAGGACAGAAAAGGGAGAGAAAGAAAATAACAGAAATGACTCAATGTAGGGTGGTCAGGCAAGACTCCTTGAAAAGATGACATTTAAATAGAGACCTTGAAGTTGGGTAGCAGCTACCCGCAGGGCTGGAGAAGAACCTGTTCCAGAACAAGGAAGCAGCCTGTGGTAAGGCTCTGGAAGCGTTTGGTAGGTGGGTAGCTTAAAATGCGTTTGGAAAGACAGGCAGGGGCAGATCATGCAGGCCTTTAAGGACAGTAAGGAGTTTAGATTTGATGTAAGCACAATGGGAAGCTACGGGAGGATATTAAGCAAGAGCATGAGCTGATCTGAGAGAGGTTTCCAGGTCAGTCCTCCTATATGGAGAACGCAGTGGAGAGGGCCCAAGCAAAAGCTTGAGGCTAGTTAGGAGGCTTCTGTCTGGAAGCCTGGAGAGCAACGGTGGGCAGCCAGCCTGGGTGGTGGCAGTGACCAGGAAGAAAAGTAGAGGATTTAAGATATAATATAGAAGCAGAATTAATAGGACTTGCTAATGGATTGGACTGGGGGTACAGCAGGGTGAGAAAAAAAGAATGACATTCTGAACATGCTCCATTTTTTTAAGAATAGTATTCTCAAAGACTTGATCAAAACAGATCAATAACAAGCGTTAGTTTAAGGACTCTAATACTTTTATAAGAAAAGTATATTAAGTAGGCTTTTTGGACAGTTTTTACATTAATACTAGAAAAAAAGA